TGATCAGGCTGCTCTTCACCTCCACCTTCAGCGGCTTCTGCAGGGGGCAAGCCGTCTTGGCTGTCTTTAACTTCAACTGTCTCTGGCACAGCATCCTGATCCACTGCTTCCTTCTTGCGTGGTGTGCACTCACCGGCACCAGGTTGATCAGGATACAGCTGCGTGTCTCGAAGTTGGTTGTCCACAGTGGCCATTGTCACCGAGCGGCTCGACCTGCTACTGCTACAGCGCTGACCTTGAGACCAAATGTCTAGGAAAGAGGTTTCATCACCATGTTGAACAATAACAGCGGCAACACCGCTATAACCACTTCTCACTTATCCAAGACAGGAAGAAGCTACCACATCAGTAGCAGTGCCTCATAGCTGCACCTCGAAACTATTTCCCATTGACAGTGAACAAAGCGGACACACCGCTCTTATACCCCCAAAGCGGTTTGCACCGCTCCCCCATTCAGAGTGCTCAGCGAATTCCTTTTTTCAACGTCACTGAGGGCAGCAGCAGCGTCAAATGTCAAAGACAACACCGAGCATCCATCAATGTTCAACATCGAATTTCTCCCAAGATTCATCCAACATGCATAGGTTTTTCTATGCGTTGGGAAACAACTTCAGCCAACGATCTTTGGCTTCTTGGTGAGCCCTTTGAGCAATCAAGGTAGCCAGGTCCTTAGAAACACCTTTGCGCATCTCATTCTTCTTCACAAAGTGGTAGCACCTTGAGGCAAAGCGCTTGTCGGTGTCCTCTGGAAATGATTTCAAAAGCTCTTGCTTGTCATTCCACCAGGCAGGAATGGGTCTGGGTTCCTGCTTCTTAGGCACATGTGGCGTCTTGACTTTGGAAGGCAGACTTTTTTTAGTTTGGGCCGGCTTCTTCTGGACTGAAGCTGGCTTCTTGGCTTCCTCACATTTGACAACTTCCTGGATGCTGCGCTTCAGAGGTGGCGCAGGGATGACCTCGGGAACTGGTTTCTTTTTTGTCTTTGGCCTTTCTTTGAGGAACTGCATCTTTCTCAGGCTTTTCCTCAGTGATGCCGTTCTTGCGATCGGCCAACTTCTTCTTCAAATCGTCCAGGACACTGGCAACTTCTGGAACCTTGCTCTTCTGACCCTGCAAGTCCAAAAACAAAGTGAGTCAATGATGGGTGTGTATAACTAAGGGGGTATGAGGTGTCATAAAAGTATCTATATGTAAAGTATTGATGGATATATGAAAAACAATCTGTACTGTATAATACAAGTAGCATATAATGAGTATACATGATTCTTCTGTCCCATTTACTGGAAAGAGTATCAAATCAAAACAAATCCCAAAACCGTCCGAGCATCTGAAGCTTTCAGCTTGGGTTTTACGATCAACGCATCAGCAGCAGAATCCGGATCTGCATCAGCCAAAGCAAGCATCTCAAGGCGGCCATCAGCCTTGGCATCCTGAATGCTCTCAGGACCATGATTTCGAGGGCACAACACCACGGCATCTCTCAAAGACAAATCTTGTAAAATTCCAAACTTCATGGTAACACTCCTTTTGGTCACCCTGGTCGGCATGGCTGCAGGAGTAGCCATCAATCTGTGATCCAGGCGCACAAATTCCATCTTCTCAAACGTCATTCGAAGTTGTTTTGGAAGATTGTTCATCTTGGAGGGCAAAGTTTGCAACATTTGAGATGCAGCACATGGTTCTTGCTCCTGATACTGCTGCAAATACTGCTTCAGCACCGGCTTGGAGATGTTCAAGACCCGATTCTTGATGTTCCCATCAGGCATTGAATCTTCCCAACGGCTCCAAAAAAGCAAACATGTCAACGGTCAACGTCGAGTAAGTCTTCTCACTCGCGTGACAAAGGCCTAAAAGGTGGCAGTGGTGGCACAACATCATCATGTTGGTGTCCAGGTTCGAGTAGGTATCCATCAACCTGTCCCACAAGTGTTTGGGGATCAGGTGCACCACATTCGTGTAGTCTTGGAGTTTTGTTCTCTTGGATTCACTCGAAGTAGACTCACATGCTTCTCCTTCTCCAAGTTCTAAAGTAACTTCTTTCAGCAAGGCATTCTTGGAACTTGGAAGCTTTGCTAAGATGCTTGCACCCATTGATGCTTTGACATGCCACGGCAGCAGCTTCTGCATCCCAAGGGCTTTTCTTACCCACGATGCCTAAAAAAAAGCACCTTGACCTTGACCCTTTGGTCTTCTACCTGCTTGCAACTAGGCAACTTACAATCTGACCCAGAAATAGGTCAGTTGCTTCCAAGGATCTCACAAATTGAGAAGCCATTGTCTATATGCCTTCCACTTGAGAAAAACAAGGCCACACTGTGCAAGTTGAAACCAACTCCCACCCTATATGGAAAACTGTACTTCAATAAACCAAGCGGTTATGACCGCTGTTTCCTATAAAAAAACATTTCCATGAAGCGGGCACACCGCTAACAAAAAATACAGCTCATGCTTTCAGCGGTTACAACCGCTCAGCGGTCACACCGCTATGCTGTGATAATGTTTCCCCACGTGTTTTGCTGCGCTGGCTTTTTATAGCCTGATCTACTCTTGCAGTTTCTGCAAAAGATGTGCCGTAATCATTTCCACTTCGTCATCATTGCACGGCCATGAAGGAGAGATTTCCTCAAAAGCCCGCCTCAAGACAGATCCATGAGCGCACATGTTGAAACCAGCTGAAAAATAATACCACCAACTCCACAAACAGAAATGTAGCTAATATGACCAGGCACATGCGAACCTTGCCGTTGACACAATGATTTTTCCATTTCAGCTGGCCATCCTCCAAGATCCATTCCGGCTTGAAGATCACAAAAGAGATGCGATCGAGAGGTCGCGATAGCCTATCAGCGCAAAAAAGCGATCGAGAGGCAGATATCCATTTATAGCGGTCAGAAATGCTTTCCCGTTATAGCGGTCAAGACCGCTTTCCTACAAAAACTTCACATTCCGACTTAAGCAAAACGTGCCTCGTAGGCAAAGGCGGCTCCATTGCGTCGGCAGGTCGTTTCATGATCCAAAGCTGCAAAACCGATACTTTTGTAATTATTACATTTAAAAAGTGATCACAAAAAGTTATGAAAACAACAAAAAAGCAAAGTTCACATTTCAAGTTTTTATGGCGTTTTGAAAAGTTATAAAAAGTTATGATGAAAGTTATGACTTTTAAGTTCACTTAAAACCATGGGTTATACTGTTACTTATCAGTAAACGGACACTATAGTAGCGGATGGCTCAGTCGGTTCAGAAGGGCTCGACGAGGCCAATGTCTGCAAGGCTCGCACAAGTGCTTGAAGTGGATCGATTGGCATCTGCTGGGTAAAGATGGAGGCGGTCGGTGTTGGAGTTGGGCCCGATGGAGTTTGGCTAAACAATTGTTCTTGGAGCTCAGCGGCCAATGTGGCGACCGTAGGTGTTGAAGACCACATAGACCACATAGACCACATCACAGACCAAATACAACACATAGACCACATAGACCACATAGACCACATAGACCACATAGACCACATAGACCCCATAGACCACATAGACCACATAGACCACATAGACCACATAGACCACATAAGACCACATAGACCACATAGACCACATAAGACCACATCATCCACATAGACCACATAGACCACGTAGACCACCACATAGACCACGTAGACCACATCATAGACCACATCGTAGACCACATCATAGACCACATCATAGACCACATCATAGACCACATCAAAGACCACATAGACCACGTAGACCACGTAGACCACGTAGAGCACATAGACCACATAGGCCACATCATAGACCACATCATAGACCAAATCATAGACCAAAATCATAGACCACATCATAGACCACATCATATAGACCACATCATAGACCACATCATAGACCACATCACAGACCACATAGACATCATAGACCACATAGACATCATAGACCACATAGACCACATAGACCACATAGACCACATAGACATCATAGACCACATAGACATCATAGACCACATAGACCACATAGACCACATAGACCACATAGACCACATAGGCCACATAGACCACATAGACCACATCATAGACCACATTTTAGACCACATCATAGACCACATTGAGGAGGGTGTGGTTGTTGCCGTAGAAGCAGGTGGAATAGTCGATGCGGGTGGGTGGAACGTGTAGTTGATGTGTCCAGGATGATGAGGGTTTTCGAAGTGGCGTGTGGGAATGTTGAAAAAGGCGCGCCAGTAGTCAGCAGTGTGGCTGGTAACGGGTTTGGATGGTGCGAGATTGGTCCGTGATGTGCAGGAAGTGGTTGTGATGGTGCGTGAGCTTGGGGTGTATGAGTTGATACCAGGGACGTCGAGTGATGCGTGAACTTGAAGTGCTGAAGGTTGACCGAAAAATGCTCGGTAGGTCCGGTTAGCGACATAGGTGTAGGTGTTGGGGTAGTGGGTGTTGGTCCGTGAATCGGTGCTGAATGTGGGAGAGTATTGTGTGGAGTTGGTATCACGTGAGATGTTGTCCATGTAGTCGGTGCCGTAGGACTCGTATGTGGCGGTGTAGGCCATGATGGAATAGAGCTCTACCAGGGGAACATTATAATACGACTGGATTCGAATTGTATCAACAGTTTGAGCGGATTCAGTTCACTCCTAAGTAATCGTGCGTTACTCCCAAAACGGGACCGTAGTCGATCAAGCCACATGGGCATAAACGGCTGTTCAAGTTCCAACGAATTAAGTGCACAACATGTTTGACCTCACCAGAGAACCATCAAAAGAAAGTAGACCGCACCTGAAAACATGTAGCCTCAGCCTGACATGTAATGGTCCAACATGGGCAGTCGCGTTGAAGGATTTCTGAGGGTTCACAAGGACGGCGGAGGCAGCGGGATCTCACCAAAAGGCTGACAACAGTACGGCCAACTGTTTCACTTTACTGAAACGAATTACCAGGTTAAAATGGTTTTTTTCGCGAGACTAGGGCGCCGTCCGGAGAAATATCAAAACCCAGTCACCTCCACCGTTTTCATTACAAACCGGTGTTTTTCCTTCTTGCAAGGTCATCTTGGCCCATGCTATTGACATGGCCCTGCTTTAACCCTCACAATCCATGCGCTCAAAATTATGGGGGGTCCAGCCTGACCAGCCGACTAAAAGGAGCCCTGGGGAAGGCAGTATGCCCTGGATAATCCGGGTCTCTTTCTCCACCGTAACCTATACCTACCTCCTGTGAGCCCTTGTGAAAGCATTTCACATGACATAGATTTTTGGCCTGCTGCAGACCTCGTCATAGGGGAAGTGGTTCTCAAACATATTGATACTTCTGAAATTGTGGAGCGTAGCAGCAATTTCAGGAGTCAGCTGAATCTAGCTGTTGGTTTTTCAATGATGGATGATTGTGGACACGTTGCAAACAAGCTTGTCTACTCGCTGCTGCCGATTACCGACATGTTTTTCCCAAACGATGAATCATACAGTCTGATTCATAGAATGCGGCTATGAGTCAGTCTCAGTCTGAGGGAGCAACGATGAATCTTAGACCGAACTTAGACCCTAGAATTTTACCAGGATTCTAGTGCAATCAGAACACAAAGTTCTATTGACTATTCCAAGCAACTGACTGTTTTTTGACGTTTTCAAATTTTCAAATCAGTTTCAACATCCCCAATGAGGTTCACACAGTTCAGAGCCTTCTTAGCAGTAACCACCTCGCTCGCTCACCATGACCATATGTCTACAGGGTTGGCCCACAATACCCTTATATAACCAGTTTTAACCTTATATGTTGTGTCTCTGCTGAAGCTTTCCCTCGCTTGTCGCTCATGGATATTTTGTCGGTGCGGAAAGAGCTGGAAAAGCTTTATTCTTTGGTTACGACACATGGAAGCACTGCAGAGGCGGGGTTTTGCAGTTCCGCATCAGATTCTCAGATACTTTGATATGGTCAAGCGGTCAAGATGTTCAAGTCATCCGGGTCCCTATTTGGACACACGGCCATTTCCGAGTTGAGAAATTGAGAACTTTCAGACCAGCCATGTCTTGGTGGTTTGAGCATCTGTTTCAAGCATGGGATGATGTGATGCTCCCTAATTTCACACAAAGTTTTACTGGTGCGTAGGTGTGGGAATGAGAGGATTACCCATAATGAAACATGTATACTGGCTTGTGACGGCTTGTGGTTTGGATTTTTTCCACCAGATATTGGGGATGATGATCATCCCATTCCCATTTAACTATAATACTGTTGAGATGGGGTGAAACCACCCACCAACCAGATTTATTATCATACCATTCAATTCAACCATTCCCTTGAATGTTTCGTCAAGAGAGCTGGTGATGAGTGATGAGTCATGAATCTGAGTGCGCTGCACAGGTGGCTGCGTATGCAAATGCTATCGTCGGCCTGGATACTTTGGTTGGCAAAGGCGGCCAGTTGATCCTTGGTGGCAGATTCATGGAAGGTTATGGTGGTTATGGGCCAGTGGCCAGTGATGTTTTGGGACTTTAAATGAGCCATAAGCAGATAGCATTGATAGCAATGCTATGATAGCAATGGTTCAATGATCAATGATATATACGTACAAGTACAAGGCTACAGTTAGGGCCTGGGGCCCCGACCAGGGTTACCGTGCTTTATCAGTTTTGCTGCAGGAATCCATTTGCCAAAAATTGCCGGGCATTTAGTCACCCAGTGTTTCTGGCCGCATTCTTCAAACAGACCGAAGTTCGAAGCTGAAGATCTCATTTTATTTCCCATGATTTTTTCTTGTAAGCGTTCCTCCG